GAGAGAGAGAGGGCGGGGGAGAGGGGGAGGGGGGGAGAAAAACGTGAGACACATCAATTGGTTGCCTCCTGCATGCAGCCTGACTGGGGCGGGGTTGGCATCTGCAACCCAGGTTATGTGCCCTTGACCAGGAATCAAACCCAAGACCCTTCAATGCAAGGACTGATGCTCTAACCCCTGAGCAACACCAGCCAGGGATAAATAAGTGTTTGTTTGTTTGTTTTTTAAACTGGGGAAATCGAATTACCATTCCAGGTTCTCAACGGATCACTGCATTTAGCATCCAAATTGTACCAGGGCCCCCAAAAAGCAGTTGCAGAGATTCTTGTGAGAAGTAAAGAACAGAGAAAACTTATCACTGAAAACTGCAGGATACAAAATGTATTGTCTATCCGTACATTGTCTGGTCAGGTTGCCGTCATGAAATTTTTAGTATGATTTCATTCATTCTTCAACTATATACTAAGTATTTTTTGACACTTCTCACACAACAGATGTGTCGAATCTCATGAATGAACGCGTCCCAAAACTGATCCCTACTACCCGGCTATTTCTCAATTTTATTAACAGAAAAACAAGTGAACGGACCTTTAAACTTAATAGGAAAAAACTTTATGGAAAATATCTTGAGCCTTATAAATATAACAACCCCTTCCAAGGTAGATTCAATGTAAGATTGATATTTGTTTGATACTGTCCAACAGAGTTTGTTATTGGACATACAAAAGGACAGATATGGAGGCTACCGCTCCTGAAGCTGCATTCCACAAAATACCTTGGTGAATTATGTTACATCAGAATACTGCATTTTACCTCCAGATTTTTATAAGGAAGTACCCTTCATGTAGTCTCACCATAAACGCTGAAAACTGTCTTGAGTATCAATTGTCTCATAATAGCTGATGTCCAAAAGAGTAACATTTTTTTGGCCTGGTCCTTCTAAGACTTTCCCTCCAAACCATTAAGCCAGCACAGCAGTGATTTAAAATCCTATTTTAACTCTTTCCATTTAAGGAGAGAAAAAAATCTCATGACGTTCAGCTCGATTTTCATTTCACAGAAAATTCCCAATAGTTTTCCTCATTCCAACTTCTTTTTAGTTGCACTGCCCACCCACCTCTCTCCCTTTTCTCCTCCAACATTCATGCTATCTCCCGGGGTACACACTAACTTGCTCACTGCCTCAGTCACAGAAAATAAACGGGTGGAGAGTGTGCAGTGGTCAGGCGGAAGGCTAGGTTATAGGTTGGGAGCGTATTTTGAAAGATATAGGAAGATACAAAGATATAAATTGAGAGAATATTATCAGAGCCTGCAATATAATGGTAAGAAATCTATTAAATTTATTAGTCAGCAACAAGGAATCCTGGGAGGCTGTTCAAAAAGGTGAGACATAACTACAGCTAACCTGAAGAAGTCATCGGTAGGTGGTTAAAATGTTGAGAAGCAGGAGTGTGGGGAAGAGCCGTCTTTGGGGAGGCTGGGCAAGGCCCTACAAAGGCCTGAACCAATGATGGGCTGCAGAGGAAATGGAAGGAAGGAATACAAAGGAGAGAGTTAAAGACTTCCCTGAAGTGTCACAAAACCAAACCATCTCTGCTGAGTAATTTTAGGAACTACTCACTAGCAGGAAGATCCATGTTTATATAACACTTCTAGGAAAACTTATTTTACAAAATGAAAGTGACAGATTAAGATATTCTGAATGAATTATGAGTAACTTCAAGATTTACTTAGTAAAAAATAAAAGAGAGAAGGAATAGAAGGTCTTGAGTTTCAACTTTAGTCTAAAAACAGTACAGATTTCCCCCACATTTTGAATGTTCACCACTTCACTTTTAGGAAAGACCTATATTAGAACCTATTTTTGCTAACTGAAAGAAATACACAGAGGATTTTCCCTATCATAAATAAAGGAAAAAAGTGAAAATAGTGTTCGGCGTCTGTTTTGCAGGACTGTCATAGAGGAGCATGCGACCCCGGGCAGTAAGAGTGACCCCACCAAGCTCCCTCCCAGGGAACTACACTCAGGATTTCAGCATTAAGCTGCCATAGCTTTCAACTGTGTCTGTGAGCATCTGTGCTTTATCTCAATTTACTTTGTGCATCAGTTAGCAAGACGTGTCCTTAGGTATGAGAGAAGCCTGAGAGAGATTGTAAAGTTTATTAATTACACTTAGTGTAAAACTGAATGCAATTAAGCATATTTAATATGACTGTGTAGGTTTTGGGAGAGAATTTGGGAATGCTCAAAAATTTTTCATATACAACATGGGTTTGAACTGCGCGGGTCCACTTATATGCAGATTTTTTCCCAATAAACACCTGTACTGTTTTAATCCATGGTTGTTAGCCCAAAGATGCAGAGCACCTATTGTATGCATTGATCAACGCCATTTTATATAGGGGACCTAGCATCAGTTGATTATTGGGATCCTGGAGCCAGTCCTCCATGGGTCCAAAGGGACCACTAAGTTTTGAGGGAGTCAAGTTATATACACAGATTTTTATTTGGGGAGAGGAGTTGGTGTCCCTAACCCTGTGCATTGTTCCAAGAGTCAACTGTATTAATGGTAACTGCTTCTTTGTTTTATACCATAACAAAAGGTTTCATAGGAATGCTCTACTTTCGGATAGTGGGGGGAACCTGAACAGGCATACCTCATTTTACTAAGCTTCACAGATAATGTGGGTTTTTTTTTACAGATTGAAGGTTTGTGGAAATCCTGTGTTAAAAGCAAGTCTATTGGCACCATTTTTCCAATAGACTGAGATGATGGTTAACATTTTTTAGCAATAAAGCTTTTTTTAATTAAGGTATATATTTTTTTAGACATAATGCTGTTAAACACTTACCAGACTACAGTATATAGGGTAAACATAACTTTTATATTCACTGGGAAACCAAAAAAATCATGTGACTAGCTTCACTATAATATTCACTTTATTGCACTGGTGTGGAACCAAACCCACAGTATCTCTGAGGTATGCCTGTATTTGAAATTTTTCAAACTTCTCTAAAAATTTTCATGAAAATAATTTTCCAAATGGAACTAGCAACTAGTTATTTAAAACCAGGACTTTATGCTAATGGAAAATTGATCTAGTGCTTAAGTAACAATTTAAAGGGAACACCTCACCCTGGAAAGTTATTTCTAACCTTTTAATTCATGTCAAAAATAGATGGCATTTTTACAGACAACAAATATTTGGCAAAGTATTTTACAGTTTAACAACATCTTCACATAGGAATGACCTATTCATTGCTCCTGACCAAAAACACTTTTAGAAAGTTGCCTTGCAAATAGGAAGAATCATTTTTTTCATTCAACAACACTGAGTACTTACAGTATGCTAATCTAGATGCTGTGTTGGATACTGGGAGTACTTAAAAAAAAAGAAACAATTGTCTCTACCTTCAAAAAGTCTAGGAGGAAATAAATTCTAGGGGAGACATACATGAGGAGTGAATATCAAGAAATGTAATTTATAACTCTTTAGGAAATATTATACTTTGGGCACATTTTGACATTTGTTACCTCAGTGCACTTAAATTTTTATAATGAGAGTAATGGTTCACAAAAAACATAGTGTGTAACTTCCCCACGGGAAATGCTTTCCGTAAGTTAGCTTGATACTCTTCACGTACCTGTCAACAGAATCTACTGAACACTTAATTCACATTTTAGGAGGAAGGAAATAACTATAATAAAAGAAAAATGACTAGACTTGTGATCTAAAATCAGTTCTGCAACTCACTTGCTATGTGACTTGAGCCAAGTCAATTTCCTTCTGTCTCATTTCCTCAATTTGTCTTAATATCTGCCACCTATCTACATTACAAAGATGTTCAGAGTAATAAATGAGATAACACTTGCATGATACACTGAATAAACAACTTGGAAAAGTTTTCTATATAGATCCAAAGTTCAATACTGTAAGTAAGCTTTAACTGAAATGTGTCTTTTCTCAGGATCCCAGTCATTGACTAACGTTACAATTTTCATTAATTTATTTAACAAACATTTATGAGCATTTACTACATGCCAGGGGCTATTCTTAAGAGTTGGGGATATGAGAGTGAGCAAGACAAATTCATGAAGCTTACAGTAGTCAGAGAATACATACAGTAAAATAGAAAATATATGGTAGATGGTGGTAACTGCTATGCCATGGAAAACAGTTACCAAAAGATGAGGGTTACAATTATGTCTTCAGAGAGGGATTCCCTAAGGTGATACAATATTTAAGAAAAGCCCTGAAGGAGAGAGGTGAGTTAGTGAGATGCAGAAAGAGCACTTGAGACAAAGGGAACAGCAAGCTGAAGGCAGAAGCTTTTTTTCCTGTAGTGGGAGAACAGGAAGGAAGCATGAGAGTTGGGGATAGGCAGGGGAAGGGTAGTAAATAAAATCAGCACTGAAAAGAAAACAGTGTAAGACCTTCTAGGCTATTGTAAAGGCTTTGGCTTTTATTCTCAGTGAGATAGGGAATCTTTTGAGGGTTTTAAGCAGAGAAGCGACAGGAGTTGCTTCTTATTTTAAGAAAGTTTGAGAACTAACACTAAAATAAAAGTAAGGTGTCTGGAGATGGTTAAATTAAACCAAAACTTTTATTTAAGAATTTAAAATGAAAGGAGCCTTTGAAAAACCGAAGGACCATACTCGAAATCCCTAATTGCCCAAGGGACGATGACGAAACGAACCAGCTGTGACAGCTCAACAATCACTGCCAACCAGATTTCCTGTGATAGTCAGTCCTTGCGGGTGGGAAACGCCTAATTTTTCAACAAAATCACTTCGCTAGTCTAATGCACCTGGAAACCCCTCTGTTTGACAGACCACGTGTTATCGCCTCATCTCAACCCCGTGAAGTAGGTGGAGCCTAGAGTGTCACCCCGCCTTAAAGATGAGGAGACTGAGACTGAGAACAGAGAAATGGCTCTGCTGTCAAGTCAACGCTGTCAAGTCAACTGAGCTGCCCAGTGGAGAGCAGGTTTTCCCGACTCCCCGGGCTCCGGTGTAAACTTCAGGGCGCCTAGGTCCCACCTCGAGTTCAGATACCAGTGCTGCCCTCACCGGCAAGCCCATCTCCCGCTGGTTACAGGCAGGCTCCACTCAAGACGACAAATCACAGTCAAACCCACCGCGTCTCTCCCACCCTCGGTCCCACCAGCAGGCCTGGGAGCAGGGGGTTGGTGAGAAGGCGGGTCCCAGCGGAAACTCCCGGCCGCGCCTTCCCCAGCCACGAGCTCCGACTGGGACACAGTCGCCTCTACCCCTGGGGAGTGGGCAGAATTATTACCACAGTAATGCCTGGAGGAGGAACCTGGGGAAGCCCCGTGGAGGAGCCTCGAGTGGGCCGGGGGCGCGGGCCGGG